ATAATATGATGTTCTGTTCGAAAAATAGTTTTTTTTTTTTTTTAGATTAAACTACGGATCGTTTTTGTTTTTTTATCAAATATTTCACATTACGTCTGCTTATCTTTCCGTCGTTTATTTTCGTGTGATTGACAGCAAAACCCCGTTGTTTACGTGGTGGATTTATTATATAGGTGTGTTAGGTATTTGAGCGACTTTGATCGAAGATTTAGAAAAATATTACATAACTTTATTTGAAATTTGATTTTTTTCACCGTTTCTATAGTATGACGAGACATGTGCTGAAATCAAAAACACGCAGCGTTGCTAATAAACAATATTTATATGCGCAAAAAATAGTGTGAATGTATAAAATGTAATATTTAAGGCAACGGCGATGGCGACTTCTTTGTCGGATGGTTTAAAGTATTTTTTTAAAACGAGTTTTCATTTTGATATTCACACAAAACTCAAGTGACTAAACTAAAATATTATAATGTAATATCGTTACTCCACATCACAGAGCAATAGATTCCGCGATGTGCGGGACGTTTATCAACGGCGGCGTCGCGGTACATTTGAATCGTTTCAATAGAAAGTCACGATGATTCGTCTCTCATATAATATTTCCTGCGGCGACTTATTTACGAAAAAAGCGAACGTCAAATCCGTTACGAAATTCGACGACACTTTTTATTTTTTATTGCGATTTCGTTTTTTATTTCGTTTGCATTGAATAAAAAACCGGTAAACTATATATTGCAGCGAGTAGCCATCACACAATGTTTATTAATTCATTATTTTAAATATATTTGTATAGAAATGTATATAATATGCACATACATGAGATTTATGCAATGATTTTCCGAATGTCCTAGAAACTATTGCGTGGTGGATTAACTGGTCGTACTTCACTTATTTCAGATCAATATTGCACTCTGCTTTAAAAAGGTTATGTTTGAATTATTTCATTTTAATTAAAAAACATTTTTTGTATTCAGTTTGACCAATCAGCCGACATTGGCTGAGGGATTTTAAAAGGACACATTTATTTAATATTTTTTAAGTACATATTTAGGTATACACACATTTTCTTTTGAATTTAGTCTTAGAACTAACACTCGTTTAAGTTTTAAAATATCGTTGTTCAAAATAAGGGCTTTTGTCGATAATACCAAAGCATTTTAAACTTAACGATGATTGATTGACTACATATACAAAAAGAATATAATATATGTTATTCTTGAGATTAATGGGTTTTATAGTGTTATAATTATTACATAGGTACTATAGATATATAAAAAATATTAATTCTGTATCGACCAAGAATCGTTAAATCGATGACTAATATACAATCGTTTCAAAACTCGTTTTTAATCCTAGTGTTTTTTGATCATTTCTATTTATCGTCAATGTAATAAGTGCAATTTGACTAACCCAGAATTATGATATTGCAGCATGTATAACTGCCGTCATATCCTAATGGTATAATGTGTATTTATCGTGTACATATATAAATACATAATTTTATACTCGTATAGTCGGTGAGTAATAATTACCGAATCATAATAATAATAATACGTTTGAAGGAAACTCATAAAAACACTCATCATAAGTTCCACTCGACGACTGTATGAATTACTTCTGATCGCTTCTAATCAAAACGCTTCTAGTGTTAAAATCTCGCCGCGTTCAGTCCCGAAGTCGTCGAGGCCCCTAGTCAATATATTATTATTGTACTGTATTGTAATAATAGGCTGACATGTTTTCGCTCGTGTATATTAATTGCAAATTAATTAATGAACGCGTGTGCTGAAGAACGCGCACGTGGACTTAATGAAAGTAATTCCGAAACGGAACAATAATTAAGTATACTATTATTATTTTGCCGCCGACCGCGACGGACGGGTTCTGTGTGTCTTTTGTTTGCTCGAGTTATGTTTGAAATTTACAACCACACTGTATATCATAATACGCGTATTATAATATAGCGAGGCCGACCAATATATTATTATTATTATTGTTATTATCATAAAAGACGATCGGATTTTCAAAAAATAAACTCTTTTACTACGTATTATTATTATTATTATTACTATTATTACTATTATAATGTACTGCACTTGGCCGCCGTCGATGTTTATCGCGTCCAGCTCCATCGATGGCAGCAGCAGCAGCAGCAGCAGCAGCAGCAGCAACAGCGGCGGCAGCGACAGCAGCTGAAAACCCGGTTTTTTAGTCGCACGCACCAGTCGTCTCTCTTTTAACCCTAACGCGTCGTCGGGCGCACGTTTTTTAAAAAAAATTCACGTCTACTTATACGCCGCTCTAACACACACACACGCACACTAATCGGTCGAGCAGGACCCTCTTCCACATTATATATAGTTATGTATATACGATGTTACGTATATTATGGAGGTATATAATATTATATTATACGGTGTGTATACTCGTCTCGCGTGTGTGTTGCGCCGAAACCGGTCCACACTCGACCCGTCGACGATCGTGTGTGCGGCGTATATGCGCCTCTCTCGGACCCCCCGAAAAAAAAAAAAAATGAAAAAAGAAAACGGACAGACAGACAAGCGAATAAATCCGATGGTCGACGGCGGGTGCGGGTGCGGAGATAATCATCGGCGGCGGCGTCGGAGCGACCCGCGTGTGTGTGTTTTACACCGCCATGTTAGCCACGGTCGTCGGCGATCTGTTTCTTTGTCGAGAATCGAGATTTCGATATTTTTTTTTTCTTTTCATATCGTTTTAATCGTATTCATAACGTACTGTACTAGCGCATACAAAACGTTATACGTTTTCGAGAGATTTTTCACTATTTCACACGCACGCCGCACAGATACGACGGACGCGACCTTGAATTTTACGTTCCGGCCAAGGTCGGGCTGGCGGCTCCCGTGATAACGCGTAGCACTGTCGTCGTCGTCGGATGATAACAACACACACAAACACACCATACATAAGCATAATAACACGCTGCACGATCTTTTTGATAACACGTGTTACGTACGATTATTGTAATGTTATTATATTCCCATCGACGCCGTATACGGCCGGCCTTGGTCTCGAACCACGTCGGTTCCTATGTGCCGAGCGCGCCACTGGGTCATGCTATGACCCGGAATCGTTTTCGTTTTGTCAGTATATTAATAATATATATCTCGAAACGCGTATATTAATGTATATTATCACGCTCTTGCTGATACGTTTAATATTATTGTTAAGTGGTAATAGGAATAATAATCAAACAACAATAATTCCGCGTACGGGTCTACCGCGGCTGGTGTTCGGCATTGCCAATAATACTCGTTGTCATAGTCGCTGACCGTCGGTCGTACTACGCATACGCATGTTGTAAATAGTCCGACTATACTAGAATAATAATATTACATTAAACTAAATAATTATGATTAAATATCGCCACAGCCGCCGGTGGTTTTATAGATTACCATTATAATAACGTGCCTGTCCTCGAGCGAGCGAAAAATATAATATGCAAATTATTATTTACAAACTAGGTATTTTATCGGTGCTAGATGACGTTTTTTTTTTTTTTAGTCAAAACCGGAAATCAATCATACAATTTATACGGCGAATTTCATCGATTCTGACAGACCTTTTTTTTTTTTTTTTATTATTATCATTACCGTACAGGTATCAATACGATAACAATAATTTATAGCTTACCGCACGACCGTTGTTGTTTTCGTCAGATGTTTATTGACAAGAGAATACCGGACGTCATTGCGGGGGCTGTAGTGAGCAACATGCGATTATTTATGACCGGCTAGTGTGTGTTTGTGTGTGTAAACACTCGTGTCATACAACCCCCCGTTAGGTACGTCTCTACGGGACCTGGTCCTTACGCAACGAATTATATAAACGAGTTGTGATTGTTGTGGAATTTTTATCGCCCTGCGACGACGTGTATGTGTGACATTTGTTACGGACACTGTGTGACGTACGCGCAGCTAAACCCTTTTACGCACTTTTGGACCCCGTCCAACAGACCTCTATCCGAAAATCCTTTCGAGGCCCGCGTAGTCTATATTCGGATGCCTTGACCTTAGCTGTGAAAATTCTATCCCATTTAGTTTATAAATATATATATATATATTTATTTATATTTTCGACGCGAGCACCGCGACGTTGACGGATTCTTTTTGGATACTTGCCCGACGTAACCCGTTGCGTATTGTGTCTGGTCCGGATAGACCGAGAGGGTGGCAACATAAACCAGTATAATATTAGGCATACGAATAAACGCCCACGGCTGCAGGTAGTATAGTATATAATGGTGGCCAACCTGTGCATTTGCGGTAACCGGTATAACGAGCGCAGACAAACCGTGAATTCATTTAAAATAATTTTACTTTTAAACATTATAATAATTATGGTCGGAGGACGAAATAATATCATTTATAATACATACATTAAATTGTATCAATATTATAGTGCACGTACAACATGTGTAGCTGGTGAGGGTAAACTAGACAACTATTACCAAAAAAATTAAGCTTGAAAATTTAAAACTAAAATATCTCCAACTTTATACTTTTGATTTAAAAATACAATATCTATTTTCATTATTAAGCTGTAGATGATTTCATATATTATAAAACAAATAACTTATCAATTAAAGAAACTTTTTTAAATAGGTATATTAATTTAAAAAAGATAAAAAATTTTTTATAGTTGAGCAAATATTCGATATTTATGACATTTTATTTATTCCCTATAAATTATAGTTTCTATTTTTTTTTTTTTATATTCAGTGACGTAAATTAAGGCTGTTATTTAAAATAAACGGGTAAAAGTGAGCTTAATTGGTTTTAATATGTAGTACTGACAGCTGCCTGTGTGCAAGTGTGTACTTAATGTGAAAATGATAAACTTTAGTAGTTTAGCAGTATTAATACAGTTACAACATATTCAGTCTTGATAATAATATAATAATACGCTAATACGCACACCGTTATTAACAGACATTTTTTTTCTTTTTTCAGCAGATATTCGCATCCAAGTCGGAATTGCAATTGCACTCGCAGCTGCACGTCAAAGACGTAAAACCGTACAAATGCCATCAGTGCAACAAGACGTTCGCCAACAGCTCGTACCTGAGCCAGCACACGCGCATTCATCTGGGCATCAAACCGTACCGGTGCGACATCTGCCAGCGGAGGTTCACGCAACTCAGCCACCTGCAGCAGCACATACGCACGCACACCGGCGACAAGCCGTACAAGTGCAGGCACCCGGGCTGCACCAAAGCGTTCTCGCAGCTCAGCAACCTGCAGTCGCACTCCCGGTGTCACCAAACGGACAAACCGTTCAAGTGCAACTCGTGCTACAAGTGCTTCCAGGACGAGCAGTCGCTGCTCGAGCACATACCCAAGCACAAGGAATCCAAACACCTGAAGACGCACATATGCCAGTACTGCGGCAAGTCGTACACGCAGGAGACGTACCTGTCCAAGCACATGCAGAAACACGCCGAGCGGATGGACAAGCGGCCGCCGATCATCGGCATACCGCGCGTGGCCCTGGAGAACGGCGCGTACTGGGGCAAGATGTCGCCGGACACGGCTAACAACCTGGTGGAAGCCATCAACCAGCAACAGCAACAGCAAGAGTGCATGCAGGGAGGAGGCGGCGGCGGCGGTGGTTCCAACGGCGGCGGCGGTGGCGGCGTCGCTACCGCCGGCGACTTGAACGCCGGTGGACCGTCCAGCACCGCGGGGTCCGTAACCGCGGACGACCAGCCGTCCAACAGGCACGGCTCCCACCTACCCACAGCGCCATCCGAGTACCTGTCGGACGCGTCGTCCGTGCCCAAGACCAGCACGTCCGCGTTCACGCCCATCCAGTCTTTCGGGCTGCCCACGCACCCGCCGCCGCCACCGCCGTCGCACCACCCGCACCACCCGCACCACCAGCAGCACCACCAGCAGACCATGTACATGCCGTACAACCACTTGTCGTTCCCGGGCGCCAAGCAGCTGGGCGCGCACGGCCACCAACTGTCGCCGATGGCCGGGCCCATGGACATGAAGCCACCGTCCGTCGGGTCCGTGCCCAACGGGTTCCCGAATCAGCTGATCTCGCTGCACCACATACGCAACTACTCGCACCAGCCGAGTCCTTCGTCCATCATGTCCGAACACCTGTTGCACGGCATGAAGGACAAAGTGCAGTAGTAGCGGACACGCCGACCTCCGCCGCCGCCGCCGCCGCCGCCGCCGTGCAACCGCGTTTTCTCGTCACGATAATCAATATAATAACATACATCATGCGCTCGCGTTTATCGTGTGACGCGCGCGTCCTGCTGCACGTTGGAGGCACGCCACCCCCACGACTCGCCGCGCGAGTCTTCCGCACAGCGTGTCGTTACGACATCTGTATTTAATGTGTACAGTGTAATATTATGCATAATGTCATATAATGAAATAATTGTCGTACGTGCGTGTATTGGCACGCGGAAAACCGTATTAATTATAATATTTATATATATGTAACGCCCGCGCAAGGTATTCCTCGTCATATTATATTATTATATATTAATATCGTCGTCGTCGTCGTCGTCGTCGTCGTCGTCGTGTCGTCTGTGTCGCGTGTCGTCGTCTGTTAGATATGTCTATATCGTATACGCACGTATGCGTATTGTATACCGGGTATGGTATAAACCGACCGTTGGGTAATATCGTATGTCTGCGTATATTGTATTTACCTACCTTGCAGAGCACGACGCAAGCCAACTGTGATGACGCACACGGCAGTGCAGCGAATGCTGTCGAGACGACCACTAAAATTTTCTCGCCAATTTACGTCGTTTAAAATCATTATTATTATTATTATTATTATTATTATTTGTATTATTATAATTATTATTATTATTATTATTATTATTATTACTATTATTAATATAATTATTATTATTATTATTATTATTATAAATGTGTTTTTATACGTTTTTTTGTCCAATGTCAACGTGTAAGTGTCTCATCGTCGTCTCGATCCAATCCTTTGATTATTATTACTTTTTTTTTTTTTTTTCATTTATACCTCCCTAATATTTTAGTATATTATATTAAATTAAGTTTTGGTGTTAAGTTGTGGACCGAGTGTATACGTGCGGTTTTATTGCCCGTAACCGTGTAACGACGCATGTAAATAGCTTTGTGCGAGTGACGAGACGATAACTATACAGCTGTCGTTAATTTGTATTTTATTACTTTTTTTTCCTCCAATGTCTTCTTCTCGTCAAAGTGAATTGTCTGTACCCAAGACTGATGTGTAAATTATTAATAATAATTATTGTAAAATAAATAAATAACTATCGGAATTCGGGCAGTAATATACTATCGATAAATATAAAATAATAACGCAGTTTTAAATGTTAGAGGTATTAAAAATTGTTCTTTTTCTTTTCATTATTATTATTTCTTTTTTTTTTTTTTTGTGGAGAGCTTTAGGGACACAGAGGTCAGTCGCATGGATCTCAGTAAATTGTAGACAACGTATATTGTTTTTTTGAAAACCTTACTGAAGCATTGTTTTACATTTCTTTTGTGATTGTTACCATTTGTAATAGTATAGTCAACGAGTCACGAAGGTAATTAACAAATTCCTAACCTAAAACTTAATTTTATAGGATACGTAAATTTTATTTTGAATAAGTTTAGATTTTTTTTTTTTGTAACTAATTAATTTAAAAACGTTAATTTTTTAATTATTATTATATAATTTTTATTTCGTTTAATGCTCAATTTGTATTAAATTTCGTTGTTCCGCTTTTAAACAAATTATGTAATTTTTTTTTTTTTTATCGTTGTGATGGTTCGGTACTTAAGGCTAACAAATATTTTTTTTTGTTTTTGTTGAACTATTTTAATTTACGAATTGTACAAAAGAGAACATGGAAAAAAGTAAAAAAAATAAATAAAAATAAGCCTGTATATTATTAGTTAAAATGTTATAATATAATATTATAACGCGACTATTAAGTTTGTTGTACAACACATTTCCGACGGTCTTATATATTATATATATACATAACTAAACATAATATATTTATATTATGTGTATAAAAAAATATATATATACATAAATTGTAAGATAAATTTTTTTTTGAGGTTGATAAAAATATTCCAATAAAAAAATGTATTAAAAAAATTGCTACTTTGTTATTAATTTCCTTATCTTTTTTTAAAGAAACTGGTTAATATGGGCAATGAGAATCAACTGTATAAATTATGATACAGTTAATAGCTTCATTGTGTTTTTACAAGTAATAATAAACATTTTTTAACTTCACAAAGATAGTGCATTTTTGAGATGTATTGTGGATTTACAGTAATGTTTTGTCTGTATGCTATAAGCCCTCTTTTAATTTTTCCTAGTAATAAATAAGCTCCATAATTTGTGTATAGTACTATAATGTTATATTGAAGAAAACTTATATAAATTGAAATTAGGTAATTTTACAACTTTCAGCGATACATATCGGCAATCATAATGAAAAATATAAATAATATTTCGTCAACGGAGAAGCCCTAATGATAAAAATATATTTCAGCAAACATTATTTTTAGTTGAAATACTGACACGTTTCCGATTTAATTAAGATATGCTCATATGTTCATGATAATGTTCTGATTTTAAATATTTAAAAACAAAGGTTTGCTTATATTTTTTAAAATATTATACATATAATTTGATGAACCTACACGACTATGAGTGTGTACGTATACTTGAAACCAGATAAGTGTGTGTTTTTTGAAGGAGAAAAGTGGCCTTAACCCAAAAATATTATTTTTTAAAATGTCGCAGTTTTCGCAACGACCGTTTTAACGAAGACGACAACAACCTTGGGCCCGACCAAGCACGGAAACCGCAGGTAACCGTCATCATCATCGACTGTCATAATCATAATGGGTGTTGGATCCGAATGGATCAATTAAAAATAAATATTTGATAAATGTTTTGACGAATTTCAGTATAGTATTAGAAATAATTACTATTAGGTGATGGCATTTAAAATTGAACTCGTGAGTTAAAAAGTTATAATAACTCAAACTATTAGTAGGCACAACATCTCATTGTTTAAGTATATATATTATTTTAAAATTTTTTGTTGAACATCACGAGTAATGGAAACTTTGGAAACTTATGGTTCTTGATAAGTTTTGATTTAGATTTATAAATAATTAATAATATAATATTATGAACTGATAGTGTTACAGACACTCGCGTGATGTTCGGTTAGGTTTGGTTAGATTCGTTTGATGTTCGTTAGAAAAGCGACAATGTTTGAATCGGCAGAGCTTTCTACCATATTATGATACAGTGACATTGGACACACTAGCACAGTAACATATTAAATCGAAATGGCGTGTGCGTGTTGCCGGCTCATAAATAAACCGAGGATTAATGCATGATGTAAATTATATAAAATACTTGATATTATTTTATGCGTTATATAGTTTATTTTGAAGAGTTCTACTAAAAATTTATCGTACAGTATGTTGTTATTAAACGTGATTATTTTACCAAGGTTTACTCGAATTTTCCAAACCTAATCATACATAATACTTAAATATTGAAAACAATAAAACTTATTCATAAATAATAGTCGTAGAGCCGTTTTTAACTGCAGTATAATATTTCAACAGAGATGTTAGTCTCCGTGTCCTTGAATATATATATATATTTATATGTAAGTTGAATCCGAGCCCTTTGCCCGGTGCGCAATCATCATGAAAACGGATTGCTTCTGTGTCCACAAGCTGGAAGTGATCTAGACCAGTTTGGCACGATTCAGATATTCGTGGACGCAAAGAACGAAAATATAAAACACTTGAAAACAGTGCGGTCTTAAATCGGAAAATGGCGACGAGGCCGAAAGAAAACTAGAAAAATTATAATTTCCAGACGAGCCAGCACGAGTGTACATCGTAAACAATAATATGGTCGATGGTCTTCATCTCGGCAGTATTTATACCGTGGTCAGGCCGTTCAAGCTTAGAACGTTACTGGGTAATGGGTATCACTGATAAATACATTTTTTCGGTGATAAGATTTTCGAACGTAATGAGAACACGATACCATGGTAATTTGAAGTTTTCTATTGACCACTTATGGTCGCATCGGCCATTTTTATTTCTTAAAACGGTCGTCGTCATCCATTTTCTTTACATTCGAATCGTCAGCACCGCCGTCTGGTTCACGAACGATTTTCGATCTAATCGTTTTCGCATTATTGTCCGTAATTAATTTACTTCTAATTAACAGTTTTTGTGCTTTCACCTTCAACTTCGGGTACATGTTATATTGTTAAATTGTTGGTAAACAGTGATGATATGAGACTCGACGAGATTTCATCAAAACTAATCTTGAACACGCTTTTGTGTACCATAATAATATACCTTCGGCTTGACAAAATGTTTCTTGAAGATAATGCACCGTTAAAGTAGCAACGTAAGACGTAAGTAAAACGCATATCATATTTATTGTTTCACATTTTCTTTTAGGAATAGTGACAATTCAATACACCCCCGAGACGTGTAGGTAATTCGATTTTATTGAATTTGTATACATGTATAGTATATACTATATATCTATAATATATTATAATACGTTTGAAGAATTCAAGTAAAACGTAAAACCTTGTGTCTTGTGAAGTAGTCTCGCGACGTATATTGTATATTGAAGATTAATATTTAAATATTAAGCTGTATTTTCACTTTGGCTTGAAATAGAATATCAATAATAATTTTAATTTTTATAATATATAGTCAATAGCCAATAATTATACTTACTTTATACCTTACGTATAGGTCTACAGTGTAATTGTATATTGTTGTGGTAGTGATGTATACATAATTAAGGTGTGATTTCATTTTTTGAATAAAGAGCAAAATCGCATTGTACGTTATGATTTAAAAATAACGGCGCGTTAGTACATGTATGCATAAAATATATATAATTTACTTTAATAGAAAAACATCAATCGACGTAATAGGTATAATATTGCTATTAGTTTTTGGCTTTTTTAAAATTAATTATTGAACTGTAATACAATTATTCAAATCTTTTATTTTAATACACTTAACACTGCGGGACATACTAAATGTAAACAAAAATTACCTATAAAAACATAAATGGATAATCAAATATTATAAATTTACATTTTGTAAAAACAATCGTTTTCTCGTATGAAAAATGGTCCATTTGATTGCAATTATTTAATATGCATTTTTCCGACTAATCCCTTCAAACAGGCTTTGTATTGTCAATACTAAATATCCCTTGGCGGTTGCAATAAGATAGCGTGTCTGGCCTATCGATGAGTTCTTGATTTAATTTTTATTCACGCGTATAATATATTCGGTTTTGTTGTTTATCGACCGATTGGAAGGCGGTGGCGGCAGCGTATCAAACAACGGTATTGTATTATATTACAAGGTTCTAAACATTGAAAAAAAAAAATAAAATAACATCTAAACCGTTGTGATTACGCAAAAATAATCGTATAAAACTATACACGCGATAGTCACGTCCTATAATTTTAACGATCATCACCGCCACACCGCACATATGACAATAATAATACACGTACCTGTATATCGTGCGATAAATTTGACATATTTTTCACGTGTGAAAAAAAATATTTTCTTTATAACTGGCTTCGGATTTCGGCTTCAAGCAATAATAATCAAGCGAGGAAAATGCTCACTGCTCACTACATACGCATATATATATATATATATATTTAGATGCAACTGATTGTCTGAGATGTATGTATTCGTACATTTCACTATGCCACATAGATATATAATATATTACACGTTTATTATATAGCTTAAGTCCTTTGACCAGTGAAATTGTGAATTTTACAATGTAGG